AAATATTATATTATTCTTGCATTGTAGTTGTGATATTTCGGTATAAGGATGTGTTGACTGTTGACGTGTATATAGATTTGTTCCTGGCAACTGGCACTATTCTAATTTCTTTACATAGGTTAGTAACCTAATCTACCACATTTTTAACCRGAAATACTCCGATCTAAAAATCAAAAATTACCACGTAATATTTTTCTGAGAAATCTCACTGACTCTCTAGTGTGTTAGTGTGTACATATTATGATTCGTACAAATATTACAAAACTTATGTTTTTCAAAATTATTTTCAAAATTTAATTGGAACACAATTTTATTGATATAAAAAAAAATATTTCAAATAAAAAACTTTCATAAAAGATGAAATCAATATTATTTCGAATAATATTTTTGGYCTTGTTGTCCATTAATTGAAATCTAACCATTACCGTAACCGGTGTAACCCGATCAAAGGATTGGTATAAATTAGGCATATTAAAAACTGCGACACTATTTACTTAAATATCTGCATTTGGTCGACTTGTTATTCATCAATTTATTTTTTGATTTGTGTACGTTCGCAGACGGACCGATATCGCCGGACGTATGTTCGACGGGGTCAACGGTAGCGGCGGTGCAGAGGCGGTGGTAGCCAGTGGCAGCAGTAAAAGTGGCAGCGGTCACATGGACGTCAAAGTAGTGTACGCCAACCCGAACGGCACGCTGTCCATATTGCCTGACACGGCGGCCGGTGTGTCGCCATGGCGTCCGTCGTCTGTGTCGTTGGCCGCGGTGTACCTGACGCTGTCATCCGCGGCCATCGCGTCCAACCTAATGGTGCTGACCGGCATCGTCACCGCGGACAGGCTGCGGTCACCGTACGCGGTGCTCGTGTCCGCGCTGTGCCTGCAGTGCGCCATGGACGCCGCGGTCGGCCACTACGTCACAACCAGAGAGCTGTTAGGTGGCGGTGGCGGCGGTAACGGCGGAGGAGTCACCATGTGCCGCGGCGTGGCCACCGTAACGGCCGCCCTGTCCGCCGTCGAGCTGGTCACGTTTGCCGCACTCACGTGCCTCAACACGTTCGTCCGAGCCGACTACGCCGAGCTGCCYCTGCCGGCCGCTGCTACCCTGTGGGCCGCCCCTTCCATGTACACGTACGTCATACTCACACCTACGCTGCTGTTCACCACTCGATATTTCCCGTCAAGGTACGTACCACACCGCCGAACGTATACGACAGGCTATCCCTGCATGATTAAGTGCATAAAAGACTGCACGTTTTTTACGGCACGATTACGAGCAAATTCGCTAACGTAAGTACCGAAGAATATACAGAAATTCAAAAGAAAATTCTGCAATGTTATTATTCACGTAAAAAAAATTTGAACTATATATATTATACGAAAAATATTATTTAAAATTATTACGATAATACCTACAAGTGTATATTATGAATTCGATACCATCATGATTTCATGGTCATAATTTAATGCAACGTATCTGTTGATAATAATTATAATAAACAATGAGGCTAGCATTAAATATTCACTTCTTAAACTAAAATATTTCTATGATAATTTTGAAAAATTAGAGTTTTTTTATTTTATCAGTTTTGATGCCGATATTATTATGTGTATATTTTATCAGTATCAATTGTTTAACTGAGTTTGTTTAACGTTTATTTAATGGTCAGTTGTATCACTATATTTTTAAGTATGATTTTTAAAAATTAAATACGTTAAAAATAGCGAAAAGGTAACTAATAACAAGTAATAATTATTACTATACTTGATGGTATTTTTGGCTTACCAAAATTTAAGCTTCTGCACTCGCGTTTTTAGAAAATTCAAAGTGGTTATTCTTTATGAAAATATTTTCAAAGTCTAATAATTATAAATCTATTCATAAAAAGCAGTAGTATAAGTTTTAAAGTGGATTGGAAGAGATATACATTGTAGTGTAATCACTAAATGATAAGCATTGAATAAACATGTTGTATTATATAATATCGTTGCGAATATTCGAGAACGGGCACAAGCGCGACTATACGACTATACGACTATAAAGACAGCAAAACAGAAATACTTCAAAACGTCGATATTTTTCATTTTATCGCTGTTTGCAGGGTATATGCTATAAATGATTATAATAATATTAAAATACATACGTAAAAAAAATTAGAGTTTCAATTTATACGTAAAGTATTTACCATTATGTAATAGTAAAAATAAATCTAACAACTACACTTTGAAATCTATCATCGAATCATAAGTAATTTGAATATATTATAACATTTATAACTGTACAAAATGTAATAAATAGTAGTTTTTCTATAAGTAGTTTATATTAAGCTCAATAATTAGAAGCAMAAATTGTTGATATAAAACAAAAATTATATTTTGTGGAAAATGTTTATAATTTGTTTTCAAATGCTTTGTATTTTACAAGGCATAGAGTTTTGTATAGATACTCATCATCATATTTTTACTAATTTATTTTTCTACAGTAAAACCATATTTCACAGAATGCTACTCGAGTGATGTGCATTTAATAAAAAGGTGATAGTACTGGTCTCATTAAGACAGTGATCACTACTGCATATTTTTAATTTTCTAGTGCAGTACCTTAAATATGTAAAAATACAATGGGGTTTCAACTACCCAGATTTACTTAATGATTCGAATAGCTATATACAGGGTCAGGGTGATTCTTTTATCAAACAACACTCATTATTTCAAAAACTATTTACATTTTTCAAATTTTTTTTTCTCAACATTTTAAATCCATCTTGTTCTAGAACTATATATTCTTTTAAAAATATTTTCACCCTTATATTTATCAGGTAAACCATTATCAACTTTTGATTTTCAAATKAGAACCTATACTTCAAATTTCATAAACTAAAAAGGCTATTTTTTCCATGAATTTTCACGTTTAAATTTTCACTTTCGTTAATCTGTTTACAAGATATAGCCTCTCAAAATTGGATGTTTTAGGTGGTGTTTGTGTGTTATAGGTGTATGTTAGGTGGTATTTACACACAAATACCAAATGAGTGGTATTTTGTAAAAAAATCACCCTGTATATTTGTATACAATTCGACGAAACATTAATTATCTATACCACTACCCACAAATGACAAAACAATGCACTATGCACGAGAAAAAAATCTACTCCATCCTCAAATATTCCAATCGTCAATTCCCAGTTGATTGACTTGTCGTTTGTAAACGTATTACGTGAACCATGATATTCTGTAAAACCGAATTATTTTTTYGGATTTCCAATCAGTGTATATCAAATTAAAATTCGATTACTTTATTTAAATTTAGTTATTTTGTATACAGATTTAATGACATTGCTAACTCAATCACATTATTTTTCTCATTTTTGTTGAAAATAATTTCAATACATTTTGTAGAGTTATAACTTATATCTTTATATATTATTAATAAAGTAATAAATTGAGTACCAACTCAATTTAAAAATAAATAGACTACAACTTTTAAGATAATTTATCGCATGTACCAAATAAAAACTGATGAGAAAAAGATTGAAAAAAAATTAATATAACATTGATTTTATAATTTTTATACACCGAATTCAAGCATTCTAAGTGGAATTAAATAATGCAATAGAAATCTACCTACTTATATATTTTCAAATAATATTTTTCAAATAAAAGTAATTAACATTTTTTTTTTTCAGGGGTCGATGCGGTTTCATTGTCAATACAACTGGATGGTTTTACCCATCTTTATTGATTGTTTTCAGTTTTATGATACCCTGGTCGATATCATTTTATTTTGTTTTTGTATCTCGACCTTCAACGATTACTAAATCGACCAATATCATTGTGACACCCACACAAACAAAAAGCCAAATCGATCTTGTACCGTCCAAATTAATTTTTGCATCTTATACAATTCTTGTAACACCTAGTCTTATATCTTCAAGTGTTTATCTTTATAGCAACCCAAATGTCAATCCTTGGGTCGAAAACGAAGCACCGGAAGACATCTTGGATGGCTACTTATCAAAAATGCCAATTATGTTTGATGTATTTGTGCCGTTGGTCCTAATATACTATCACAAAGTGTTCAGAAAAAAATGTAGAGAATTGTATTTGCATGGGTTTAGGAATTCCGTCTCAGACGGACGTCAAATCTCTATCGAAAGACTGAGACGAATTAGAAAGAACGAACGTTTGGCAGATGACGCACCTGTATTATTTCTTGAACGGTCTGGCATGATAAGCGTTAGGTTTCCGAGTGAAGACGGCTTCGTGATGAAGGTATGTGATTTGAATCAAAAAGAGGACAATAATTCAAATAGCAGAAAAGAAGTACGGGTTTCGAAGAAAGTGAGTAAAGGTCCTAATGAAAGTGGTGTATATAGTACAAAAGAACCAAGAGASGAAGAATCAAGCCTTTGAAGAAAAACATAAATATTTATAAAATTAAATCATATACTAATAATAATACTTTATTATTTAATTGATGTATAATATCTATGTGACTGTATATAGTATAAAATAATATATAAGGAAGAACAAATTATAATTTACATTTAATTTTAATTGAGTCTTTGCATTTAACGTATAATATAATTATTGAACAACGAAATCAAAATTATGTCATTTATAAATAAAATATTCATTGTAGACAAATAAAAATGTAATGTATTTTATTAGATATATGTTTATTGTAAATAATCATAAATAATTTATTTTATTATTAATATTGTTATTATTTCTTTTTACCAACCATAATAATAATTGTGTACATTTTTATAAGGTCTTAAATAATTGAAATTGTATTTTGTACAAAGACAATATATTTTTATTTATAACCTAAATCTTTGATTACCAATATAATTTACTGGTTGCTGGACACCAAATAGCTGACCTCCGTCTGTGAATCCTAGGCCTCCACCGAATCCTTGGTTCTGATATCCATATCCTAGCTTCTGATACGGATTGAAAATGTTTCCTCCTGAGTACCCATTCCATCCTAAACTGTAACCTTGACCATTGGTTTGGGAATACGGGAGGAYGTGACCTGAGTATTTCCCTTGATCAAATCCGTCAAATTCGTGAGCAAAACCCCTCTGGATGTATCTGTTTTCGTACTGCCCAAATGATCTGAGCGCCATGAGAACAACATAGACAGTGGTAAGCAGAATCTATTATTTTTATATTTTTAAAACGAGTTAATATAAAATGAAACAAAATCTATATAACTGGAAATAAAACTATATATGAGCATATAAAAGAAAACAATAAGTATGAGATTTACCTTGGTGTTTAAGTCCATTATTAATTATTATTATATTTTATTAAACTCGTATTATATTGAACGTGGATATAGTTGATTACYGGTTGCTGATTCAAAACCGACTGAAAATATTAAAACGACTGACACTGTGAAAATGATCTGAACCGAAATTAAGGGGGTACTTATATAGGAAAGTAATACACCATGTACATAAAAAATAATATGTATGATACTACCTGTTGGATAACAAATGACAAAACTAACTTTCCAATTTGAATCAATTAAAGTAATTTTAGAATATATTTTTAATACGATTCACCGGATCGTATAATAGTTAAAACGCCATAGAATCGGTTTTAAAACGTTATGCTTTGATCTGTTATTTGAAT